ACATGTATTTGTTATTTCATATGTAATAAAATTTTGTATTTGTTGACATAAAAATAAATATATACACAAATAAAAATAAATATATACACAAATAAAAATGTTGTCTTTTTTGTGTTTCCAACGTGGGTCATACCTTATACCAGAAATTAATGCTTACTCAATATTTTATTTTTAATAAAGTGTTGCATCACTTAAAAAATATGTCTTTGCGAAGTTAGATTAACTGAATTAAAATAAAAAAATTTTCATGGCTTTCATTTTTCGCTGGTTTAACATATGGTCAACTACTAAAGCAAAGGACAGTCAAATACTGAGTTGTTTTTTTTTTTAGATGGTCATTTACTTACGCAAAATCATGCTTTAAAAAAACAGCTTCTAAAACATGAAAAAATTGTGCTTTGTAAAATATTGTTTAACAGTATACTAGAAGATAGTATGGTAGATATTAGAACTAGTAGATAGTTATCTAGTAGAACTATTAAGACTATGTAATTAGCAAACAATCTTAAAGATCATATGGCAGTCATATAGAATTTTTTTCTTAAATGGTCAATTACTTGTACCGGACAAGACCTTAGTTTAAAAATAAATTACCTTAGTTTAAAAATTAATAAATCTGTATACAGTTGCATGCAAAATTAACCGAACAAAAGCATAACTTGAGATAACTTTTGAATGAAAAGTCCAATTTCTTTCAAAGTTTCACTGAAATGTCAAAAAATTGATTACAAATCTAAAAACAAATGAATTTTTACTAAATCTAAACAATCTAATCTTAAAAGTTCATTTAATTAAAATATGCTCGTGCTAAAGTATCCAAACAGAAAAAAAAACTTGATTTAGATTTTTTTTTTAAACATTTTTTAAATTGAAAATGCATTATTTTAAAGTCAATTGCTTTAATACCTTGTCGGGAAGTCCTTAGCATTGGTTACTGCTTCACAGTGGCAGGGATTGAGTCTACCAGATTCATAATCACAATAGTTTTGATTTTTCTCCTTTTTTGTTTCAGAGTGTTTAATAAATTACATTTACTTGTTGGTTTTTGACCTGAAATTTGTCAATCAATGAGCTTACATAGACATTTAATAGGATTAAGGTCAGGCTATTGGATTAATCAAATTTCTTTGGTTTTGAAAAAGTTTTTCACAAGGGTTGAAGCGTGGCCTGGGTCATTGTCTGCTAAAACATTCTTCCTTGAGGCATTTTGTCTTTAACATGTGGTAGCATAACATCCTTAACTATATCTTTGTACATATTTTTGTCCATTTTGCCATCAATCAAATGGATAGGACCGATAGAATCTCTATTCAAGTTAGCCCTGCTCATAACGTTTCGTCCTCTGTTCTTTACTGTTGATAGCAGGTATTTAGAATTGTTTTTATGGCCTTTTGCTCGACGGACATATCTAATATTATCAGATCCAAATAACGTAAACTTTAATTCATCACTAAAAAGTACTTTCAATCACAGTTTTCTTGCCCAATTCAGATGTTCATCAGCAAATCTTAAGCGTGCTTTTCAATTCTTTATATAAATAAAATATTTCTTTGTAGTGTGTCTTCTAAATAGATTTGCTGACCTTTTAAGATTAGATTGCTTAGATTTAGTAAAAGTTCATTTGTTTTTAGATTTGTAATCAATTTTTTGACATTTCAAGTAAAAATTTATAAGAAATTAGACTTTTCATTCAAAAGTTATGCTTTTTTCCGGTTACTTTTGCACACTACTGTAGTTATAGTTTATATAAGATAAAAACAAAAATATTATTTAAAAAAAAGTTGTCTTTTTTTATCACAAAAGTTTATGAGGCAGATTTGTAACAAGATTTTAAAACATCAAAGTGTTGCTCTCTTGTTTGTCGAGATGAAAAAAAAAATCTTTCAAATTTGTTGTGTAAATGTTTTTTTTTTTTTTTTTTTTTTAATAAATCACAAAACAATAAAAGTTGTCTTTTTAAGCATAAAAATGTTAACTTTCCTAAATAAAGTTAATATGGTGTATATCAAATATAAACTATTAGTAACTTTTTTTTTTTAATTTTTTAATATTCACATTAATATTTACTGTTTTATAATTTCTCTATTAATCATTGTTATTGTTTTAATGATTTTTATTAGTTATGTATCGATGGCAAAGGCCGATTGTGGCTAATAATAGATTTTAATGTATTTATATAATATATTTTACATTCTTATAATAATATTTAGAATGTAAAATACATGTATAACCTGTACCTATACATCAGCAGTGACTAGGCCTACTAGCCTGTACCATTGGTAACCAGCAACATTATAATCGGCTTAATCATCAACTGATTAAATGGTTGATTAATTGGCATTGGCATTGACTAATATAGCCAAACCAAACGGGTGCATAGGCGCACCTTATATATGCAAAATTGTGTACCTAATATTAATATATTGCCCTTATATACATACATTAAACCATATTATTAGCCTCAATCGGCCTTTGCCATCAGTACATCACTAATTTCTATTATTTTACACTAATTTTACTCAAAATTCAAAATTAAAACTGTTTTATTTGCTGAAAAGTTTATAATTATGTTTAATTTGCTAAATAATAATAGTTTATAACAAATAATAGTTAACAACAAATAATAATTGTTATATTTAATTAAATAAACATAATTATAAACTTAATAAATTAAATAATTTAAAAAAAATTTGGTCTGGCATTGAGGGTAAGCCTAACTATTCAACATATAATGAGTTTAAAATTAAATTATTTAAAAAGTTATAATTTAAATGATATTTTCATTGTAAAAACCACTCACCATTACTAACTGTTGTTTTCAATATAGTTGTACCAATTAATTGATTTACTCTATGTAGCATTTTTTTTTTAATTATTTATTTTGATTAAGTATTTAATTTAAGTTGTTTAAAGTTTATATAATGTTTGTATAGAAAAGTTTATATAATACACCAAATAAAGTATGAAAATGATTTAGAAAAAAAGAACAGTTTGATTACTGATTTAGTTGTTCACAAAAGAAAAATTTTATGATCTAAAGAAACAAAGAGATGGTTTGAAAATTATTTATTTTGACTATCAGCAAAACCAAATCATAAAGTTCCAGACAACCAAGCTTATTATAGTAGACAACTGTACATATACAACTTTTATGTTGCTAAAAACAAAAATAGTGGATGTTTAAATAAAGATAAGTCACTATACTTGGAATGAGAACGATTTCAAAAAAAAAAAAAGTCAAACAGTGCTTGACAGGCTTTGCAGTACAAACATGGATGGCATAGACACTGTTTGCTTAGTTTTTGATGCAAAACAATTGAACTTTTGTTTCCTGTTCAAGGGGATATATTTTTTCCAATATTCCAATATTTGGAATATTGGAAAAAAAGTTAATCAAAATTGAAAGAATTTATTCTCCAGAAGAGTACTTTATTGTTTAGAGTACTCAAAGAGGTGTAAAAATTGCTGAAATAAACTGGAATGTGTTTTTTTTTTTTAAATGAGTATGTTAAAGAGTTTTTAAAAAGCTGTTGCAAATCAAAATTCAACGCTAAATTACAAGAGAATCAGCTAAACGTATTAAAGTCTGAACAGAACCTAATTTTTTCTGAATGGTCCTCAGACAATAACTAAAAGAGGCCATGATTGTTTGTCTTATCTCTTTATCAAAAGTTTGATGTATGTGGATGCAGGAGTGAACTGGCAGCAAAATATTTGTTTTGATTTTTTAAAAAGTGTAGTTAACAGTTTTTTTAAAAAAAGACCCAGAAGATGAGGAAGATACTATATACAATTTCTTGGAGAAGTTGCTGCTTGCAATTATATTTAACTTATGTGTTATATAGCATTTTCTTTTGTTAAAATTCTTAATAGAAAAATAGCGACCTTCACAATAGTGTTTTGTTTATTCCCTTTATTTTATACCATAACTTTTTTCTCTAGTTCATGCAAATCAAAGCTCTTTTCTTTCAAATCATTTTAATGCTTATAAATAAAACATAACAATTTAGCACTCTACTGCGAGTCAGGCTATTTTTCAGTCGATGTATGTACTGAAGCCCCCAGCAGCAGGCTATTTCAGTATGATGTCAGATTGCTTACCTTAGTACGCAATACTATTTGTGTATATATATATTTATATATATTTATATTTTATATATATATATATATATATATATATATATATATATATATATATATATATATATATATATATATATATATATATATATATATATATATATAGTTTTTGTCAATCAACCTAATTCAAAATAATCCATCTCACATTATCAAAATTAGCTAAATCATTAAGTTAATCAAGCTTATTTCACGATCCTACAGAATTTCATTTTTTTCTATGCGCATCTTTGTATTTCTACACTAAAGTAAATTTTTAGGAGCCAAAATATGTGTGGGTCAGTTTCCCTCCAATTTCTCAAAATTTAATTTCTCAGACTTTTTGCAAATGGGCTCCTCATATGTTATTTTGCAAATGGGCTCCTCATATGTTATTGTATTATTTATTAACTTTAAAAGTATATTATTATATGTTATGTTATTATTTATTCTATTTACTTATAAAGTAAATTATTATATCTTTTTGTATTATTTATTTATCTTTAAAGTAAATTATTATGTTATTGTATTATTTATTAAGTAAATTACTAAATGTTATTATATTATTTATTAACTTTTAAAGTAAATTATTATATGTTAGTGTTTATAGGTTATAGTTTATTTATTCTTATTTTTTCATTATTCTTCGATTTATCTTTTGTCAAGGTAATAAAAAGTATTGATTCATTTATTTCGTCATTAAAAAAAAAAGGCCGTGTTATATAAATAAAATCTACATGACCGGGGCTTAAAGAAGACAATATTTGCCTTATCACTGCGTCCAATTCATGAAGATTAAAAAACAAAAAAGTGTTTTTATGTTGTTTTTTTTTGTGTTTTTTTTTGAAGTATCTATTTTAATTTCTGTTTACATTTTCTATTAGAAGCTTGTTAAAAAGATTGGTCCTATTGACAGTTCAAAAAATATCAATGGTTCCAAGAACAGAACACAAAAAGAGCATGTGGGGATTGAAGTACTTAGTAAAAAAAATGATAACAAAGGCTCGTTAGTAGAGAAAAATGCATTTCACATAAACAGTGAAAGTGAAGATGATGTTTTGGTAAAAAAGTCTGTGGAACTGCACCATGTTGATCTTGATGAAGTAAAGAGCCATTTTGTTTTCAAAAGATTTTGTAGGTATTCAGTAAAACTATTAATCTATTTTTAAATGAAAACTTTGATTTATAAAAAAATTTTAATGTGATTTTAGGAGTTAGATGTTGAACCTGCAGTTGCTAGAAAAAAAAAGATTACCAAAGCCAGCATGGCAAAAAAAGTAATTCGAAAGAATATCAAAGTTAATACAAAGATAACTTTTAATGATGAAGGAGAAGTATGAATTATTTTTGTTTACTTCTAATCAAGTGTTTTAATTATATTATTAATTTTTTTTTTTTCAAAGCTGTTTTGGGCATTAGATCTTAAGTTCAAACCAACCACTTCTGATTACAGCATGTCTATTCTCATTATAGCGTTTGTTTACTAGAAAATAAATTTTTGAGAGGACTGTTCCAAATTTATAGATAAAATTGTAAACCGGTAATACACCTAATTTTATCTCTAAACTTTTTTATAGATAAAGTTGTATTACAGGTTTACAGTTGCATCACTTCATATTAAATCATTTTGGGGAAAATGCCACACAATTAATATGAAATAAATAAAATTTTAGAATTAAAATAAATAAATTTTAAGAGTTGGAACTAAAAGATTTATCTTAATTAAAAAAAGACATAAGATTTTATGGTTTATATGAATTTTCACAATAGTCATTAATGTGCAATGATATTTTAAAAACTTTGAGAGTCAACTAAATGATCTGCAAATCAAGATCCGAAGTTCATTATATGGATCTTTTATGTTTAAAACTATTAAGTTTGTTTAAGAACTATTTTCTTCTAAAAATTTCTTTAAATGAAATATTTGAATAATGACCTTAGTGACGGAAAAAGTTCCAATTAGCACATCAAAATTAGTTAAAATCAATTTTTTATTAACTAGTTGTTGTTTTTTCCAATTTTGTTTCACTACTTAATCCGTTAAATTCACTTAATTTTATGTAGAGAGAAAAGTTAAAGTGTTTCAATCATTTTTTTAAACACATGTGTATTATTTGTAAATAAAATAGCGTTTTTTTTTTTTTGGTCCATGATTTAGATGGGTTTCCATAATGCCATCTTATTTAAATATGGCATGGAGGGGTTAAAGAGTTTTTACAATCGGTTGCCCTTAGCAGCCTATTTCTTGATAAAAAATTTTTTATTTTTTATCAAAATATATTATTAACTTTCCTAAAATTATATTTGAAATAAAGTTTCATCAGCTCGTTAACTGCTATTAAAATGTTGCTTGTGAATGGGCTGCATTAGTTTCCCTACAGAAATTTTAAAAAATGTGTGCACTAGCAATGAAACTTGAAAAGTGGCTCATCTAATAATATTGCAATGATAATTAATTACTTTACAAATTATCTTACATCATTGTGTACCACCTTTAGTTTTAGGTAATGCTAACATTTCAACACTTTATATTGTACATGTACAATTGATAAAAAGAAATCCTTATTGTTTTTTTCTCCAATATAATGCATTTGCCCATAAAAGATGTTTAGATGTTTTAGGGATCAGATCAGCGAATAACCAGTTATTCACTATAATTGACCATAGGTGCTGTTTGTAAAATAAATAGATCAGACAAATAGATTGTACTTTACATAATATCACTATTTGTTATTTTTATTTTTTTTTATATTAAATAAAAGTATTTAAGACATGGTAGGTTGTCTTTGATGCAATTTAGTTTTGCAATATTTAAAAGAGCTTTTTGCTTAAAGAATGAACAAAGTTAATTCAAAAGATTTTACATTTAATTAATTCAAAAGTAATAGATTTTACATTTAAGACGAATAAAACAACAAACTCAATATAAAATAACGTCCTAATTGCTTATAACTACCTGCTTGGAGAAGTTGAATATTGTATGCTGCAAATATCAGATAAATTTGACCTGGAAAAGTAGGTTCAGTTGTTTATTTCAACTAATTTATTTTTGTTTCTTTGTTTAAAGGTAGATATTGATCCTAATAATGTATCAGTAGAGCCAGTAGACATTTCTTCGGAGGCTGGCGGTATAGACGTAGAAAAGGCCAAATTTCGTATGAAAGAACAAGATAAGATTGATCGAGCTATAGAAAGAGCAAGAATAAAAAAGAAACATAAAGAAATAAAGAGGAAAGAGAAAGAAGAACGAGTTGGATTGTCGGAGGTAAATTTTTTTCGTTCAAACTTTATTGTTAATGCAATAAAAAATATCGTGTTGCAAGTTAGATTTTAAGTAGTGAATTTAACTTTTAATCAATTTTTATTCTTTAAGGGGAGAAGAGTAACTCTTGGAGCATCAGATGATAGTGATAGAGATGATGTGGATTCTGATGAAGACTCGAGGTTCTTTTATTTTTGTATTTTTCTTGTTTTACAATGGTGATATAAAGAAGTTCATATAAAATAAAAATTTTAGTTTATAACAAAATATTATTTGTATTTTGGCACAAAATAATTTTTACATAATTTGTGTTTTAGCCATAACATTGTATTATTGTATTGTTACATAATTTGTGCCATAACATTGTATTATTGTATTGTTACATAATTTGTGTTTTAGCCATAACATTGTATTATTGTATTGTTACATAATTTGTGCCATAACATTGTATTATTGTATTGTTACATAATTTGTGTTTTAGCCATAACATTGTATTATTGTAACATTGTACTAATACGCTTTATGCATAACTTTGATACTTCAAAATATTTTTCATTAACCATATCAATTTTTACGTATTTGCTTGTAACTTGGTTACTTTTAAATGTTCTTTTTATAATTTTTAATATCCAAATTTACGTCCATTTTTAGTTTATTTAGCTCTTTGAATCCTAAATTTGTTTGTTAATTTGGTGCATATCCATTGTTATGTTAAGTATTTGAGAGACTAAAAAAAATGGATCTAAGGAAACTTTGTCTTTATTAATACAGACTTTTTAACTTTCTAACAGGCTTTTTAATTTTTTCTGCTTTGATGGTCAACTTCACCCGTAAAATATCAATTTGATATTTTACGGGTCAAATTGCCAACATTTTAGTTTTTACGAAAAAATCGAAGTGATGTAAAAGTTATGGTAAAATCCAAATAATATCAAATAAAATACTATCTTCTAAAAAACTTTTTTCATGATTAAATTATGTTTAAAATTTGCTCGTTTTAAAATTTTTATATTTTTTCTTATAATCTCAGTGCGTTTCGTCCACCAAAAAAACAAAAAGTAGAATATGCAGATGATGAAACAATTGATGCAAATGAAAGTACAGTTCTCGAAGACGAAGAACTAGCCCTGCATTTACTAGCTGCATCTTGAAAGATATATTATTAATGTTGAATTTGATATTTAAAAGTAAATATAAAAGTCTTTTATTTTTTCAAATTAATGTCAAGAATAAAGTTTATAAATCTGAGTGATTTATCATTTTGGTATTTAAAAATTTTCCAAATTTATTTTTTAGGTGTTACCCTGACATTATTTTTAATTTGTTATATTTTACTTGTAACATATATATTTAACAAATTACTAACGTATTAGAATAAAAATTTAAAATCTAACCTAAAATTAATAAACAAAATTTAGTGGTAAAAATAATTTTAAAAAATCGTTGTAACTCAAGTTTAAAAAGAAATTATTTTCAGTTACTTAAAATTTTTAAAATAAACATATTTTTGAATTTTGAAGCTGAAAGAATGATTTCTTATTAAGATATCAATATTTTTCAACTACTTATCAAAAAAATGGAAGTTTGAAATTAACAATTGTTTATATACTACTCAGATAAAATATTAAAAACCACCAGCATAATACTCCAAATTTTTTAGCAATCTTTTTTTGTTTCGTTACATAATTTTTTGTTTAAATTTTTTTAACTGTGCGAAGTTTTTATTTAAGTATTTTAAGTAACAACCACCCAGATAGGGAGCTTACATTGGTCCAACGTTGGGCCAATGCATGGTGATAGATTGGCCTAATGTTAAAATTCGATGTTGGCCCAATGCAGGTTTGATAATTGTTTAGGCATTGGCCCAATGTTGTAAACAACGTTGGCCCAACGTTGTATACAACATTGGCTTAATATTGTATACAACGTTGGGCCAAGTTATCATAAATTAGCTCTATACTGAATTCAATATCAAATGTTTTATATCGGCCCAACGTTTAACGTAACAGTAGATCGTTGTTACAAATAGATGATTATTTATAGAGAAATAAAAACAAAAAGGTATAATACAAGTATAAGAATTTATTTAATTTACATAGTTTCTCTGTTTAATATACATATTGCAAATTCCAAACATAAACCAAAAACTAACACATTGAGTTTTAAATAAAAAAATTCCCTTTTAAATTCATGGAGTAGTTTCAATAATGGCTGAGCTACTTGTTATTGAATCGTGTTTAGTTAATGGTATTTTGTGCCCACGACTATCAGCTTTTTTTCCACCATCTCTATCACATGCCTGCTTAAGCCATGCTTACTTGACTTCACAGCTTTTGCAAAATTTGTTGTTTAATTATACATCAAAGAAACAACAAATTGAAAGTAATTGTTTAATGCTCAATTGAAACTAAAAATATTACTTTTTTAAACCACTTACAAATCATAAGTATCATAAGCAATCAACATTTGTCCGATTCCGATTTTTTGTCTTTTTCCTGCATAGTTTATTTTTAAAACTAGGCCATTTAGGCTTACAAAACTATTCTTAGTAAAAAACATATAGGTTACACTCTCCTTCGCCCTACAATCTCCCTGGTCTTTATATCCAGTTTGACCCAAATAATTAACCTGCAAAAATATACAATCTGGCAATAATTAAATAATTAAAAATAAAAAAAGTTACTTTTGGTTAGACTTAAATTATTATAAAATCTTATTTACTAAAACCCTTCAAATAGTTTTTTGTTTTAAGTACATAATTTGTATAAAGGTTCATAAACGGATCATAAAAGAGTATTTACCTTATGGTTAAATATTTTCTGGTCTTTTAATTTTTCTTCTAGAGTATTTAAATTCTCAATTACTTTTAGTGGCAATGACACTCTGTCAAGCAAGTCATTAATTGACATATCTATGTTACTCTTTCTAATTATGCTTAAAATTAAACTTGATGTGCTTTGTAGTTTACCAAGTTGCACTTTAATGCTTGCCAATCGTGCAAATAATACCTGCATCTCTAGGTGATACAACTTTTTTTTTTTTTTTTTTTTTTTGGTAGTCATTTCAGTTGCTCCCAGAAGTCCTTACTGGCTTATCACAGAGCACCGCGGGAGAGCATTTAACAAGAAGTTCACGCATCCTTCCGTATTAATGTCGCTTGCTGAGCTAGAGCTGGCGTCGAACCTCGGACCTCTGGGTTCTGAGCCAGAGCTCTAACCATTGCGCAACGGCTGCTCAATTATATCTTGAAACAATAAAGTTAATAATATTCTAAAAAACTATATAACAAACTACATTTAATTTTTAGAAATTATGAAAATAAATACAACATTCACTAATAAAGCAAATAAAATTGAAAGAATGAAGGGCAACATTTTTAATTATAAAAATATTTATTTCCTGATGGATTCATAATATTTTTATGAATTATGGAGTTTGTTGGTATGCATTCAATTCTGGCACTGACACAAAACAGTTCTTTAATATTTTTATTCTGAATATTAATAGTAATACAACTTTTTAAAATAATAGGCTACGTGAATAAAAATTAGCAATTGTTTTTTTCTCAGTAATTGGTCAGCTTTACGCAAATAAAAACTTCAGCAATTTTGCTTAAGTTTTTATTTGCATTAAGCTGAGCAATTACTGAGTAAATTGCTTAACTTTACGTATTTAAGCAAAACTGCTGAAGTTTTAATTAGCATAAAGCTGACAAATTACTGAGTAAAAGCAAATGCTCATTTTTGTTCACCCGGCCTAATATCATCTATAAAAATATTGTATTACCATAGTCTATTAGATTATCTAAGTAAATGTTTATATAATGAGTAATAATGAACCATCGGCAACTGTTAAAACTTTAAACTTATATGAATACTATGTTTTCTTTCCTAAGAGTTGATTTCAAATTGATAATAAAGTTGGTGTAAGCTTGGATATGTTGATTATTGCACAATAAAATGTTCATTAACACTCTGACTTTTTGACCGTAATATATGAAAAAGCCTTTAAAAAGTTGTAAAAATTAAAGATATGAATAAACATTTCCAATCATCAGACAAAAACACTTTTGAATTAAAACTCATGAATTAAAACTCATGAATTTTTTTTTCATTTAATTTCTCAGAGCAAACATTGAACTTCTGCAAAGAGTTTGGAAGGTAAACCCTAAGATTTATTATGTTTTTTGCATTATTAATATATGAATTTTGTATTGTTAATATATGAATTTTGTATTGTTAATATATGAGTTTTGTATTGTTAATATATGAATTTTGTATTGTTAACATATGAGTTTTGTATTGTTAGTATATGAATTTTGTATTGTTAATATATGAAATTTGTATTGTTAATATATGAATTTTGTATTGTTAATATATGAATTTTGTATTGTTAATATATGAATTTTGTATTGTTAGTATATGAAATTTGTATTGTTAATATATGAATTTTGTATTGTTAATATATGAATTTTGTATTGTTAATATATGAAATTTATATTGTTAATATATGAAATTTGTATTGTTAGTATATGAAATTTGTATTTTTAATATATGAATTTTGTATTGTTAATATATGAATTTTGTATTGTTAATATATGAATTTTGTATTGTTAATATATGAATTTTGCATTGTTAATATATGAATTTTGTATTGTTAATATATGAATTTTGTATTGTTACACGGTCGTTCAGATTTACTAAATAAGTGGAAAGTTATTATACGCAAGCGCAGTAAAGTTTGCATATTTTAAAAGTTTTAAAAATGGCTACGGATAACGAATATAAAAAAAATTCTCATTGACAGCGAGCTGTTATTCTAATTTTTAGCAATTAAATATGCATTTAGCCGTTTGTTAAAAGGAAATTATAATAAAAGTAACTTCTAGTACACGATAAAATATTTCAAATTAAATATAAAATATTTAAAAATGAATAAAATGTAATTACAGCAATAGCTATTTTAGTGTGTTTTGTTTATCGTTTTCAAATTGTTTTTAAAAAAATTTTGAGCGTAGAAATTTTTAAATTTTAGCTTTTTCAGATAGATGAACTGTTGATCTTTTTTAGAATATTTACTGGTATTAGTATTCAATTTTTTTTCAAGATTAAAAGATATTTTTTTAACATTAACTTTTAGTAAGCTGTTGCTAGGCTACCCTATAATCACAATACATAATTACATTGATGTGAGTATATATATATATATATATATATATATATATATATATATATATATATATATATATATATATATATATATATATATATATATATATATATATATATATATATATATGTAAAAGTTGATTATAATAAAAAGATAGCGTATAGCCATTTTAAAATATATTTAGATGTAAAAATATATTAACAATAGTATATTTTAACTTTATATATATATATATATATATATATATATATATATATATATATATATATATATATATATATATATATATATATATTGTATAACAAGAAATGACTTTTAAGGATATATGTATATATATATATATATATATATATATATATATATATATATATATATATATATATATATATATATATATATATATATATATATATATATATATATATATATATATATATATATGTATATATATTACATATATATTTATAAATTTCAATACGTATGTATGTTAGACCCATGGAAGTCGGCCTAACATACAATTTTTAATATATTTACTTTTTGTTTTTGTTAAAATCAATTCATATTTAAATACATTCGAATTTTAAAAGTTTTTTCCTTTTCTAACTATTTATTGCTAAAATAATTAATAAAATACCTTATAATATTTTTTTAGTATTTAAATGAGCAAAGTTTGATCAAATCGAGGGGGCTGTTAATTTTATATGGTCATAACTTTTAGGCACAATAATACAAATAAATTAAATTGAAAAACTGAACGTTTATTTAGTATTAGATAGAGAAAATAAGCATTTTATCAAGTCATTGTCATCATGTTTTGGCAGAGGCAGTTAGCTTGTAGGAGAATTTTTGTTAACAATTCATGAATTTTTTTGCAAAACATTTAGAATTGACCAAAGCATGACCATAATTAAATTTAGTTAAAAAAAAATTTTTTTAATGTATCTTGAAATTTCTAAGACAACTTCATGTTATTAGAGTAATAACATTCTAATAATGTTATTACTCAAGATTGTGAAAATTTATAATGATATGACCTTGAGCTAATTTCATTATAAACTATTAATAAAAGTAGGTTGATTTGATTCAAATAAATAGAGATTTTTTGAGTCAAGTCTTGAATCACTTATTTGATTTGATTCAAAATATTTAGGCTTAGCAGGGGCCTAATATATATATATATATATATATATATATATATATATATATATATATATATATATATATATATATATATATATATATATATATCCACGACATGATATTAAATATTACATTAATTTTAAAAATAAAGCAGTAAAACATTAATTTTTAACGAACAAAAAAAATTTTAAAAAATATAGTCGGTGTTATAAAGTTACATATAACTAGGGATACAAATGAAATTTTATGGTAACAACTTGTCTATTAAATAAAAAACACGATACTTATTAATTATATATATATATATATATATATATATATATATATATATATATATATATATATATATATATATATATATATATATATATATATATATATTAGCTATATACCTTAATATAAATGTATCATACATCTACGAAAGTAGTGTTGGGTGAATTCTTTTTTTGTTCAGAAAAAAATTGAATACTCAGATCTGAAAACAATTTCAAATCAAGATAAGACTATTTGAAATAAAAAAGTAAAAATTATTAAATTGTATCGCTCAGATTTTTAGAAAAACAGTTTTGAAAATGTAAACAAATCACGCTTTTAACAGTCAGATAAATGTAGCAGAGAATCACAGTTTTTTATATATTAAAACATCTTTATATTGTTTTTATCATTTTTGAATCAACAATTCAATTATCTTTATTATTATTTCATTCTATCAAAAATATGCAAATAATAACTACTAAGTAAAACTTTAAAAATTTGTTGCTACTCAGAAAGAATTTTGGTATCTAAAGGCCGTCACTATCTTTAAAATTATAATATTTGAATTTGACACTGCGCTTGCGTATAATAACTTTCCTCATCTAAACGACCGTGGTTATTATATGAATTTTAATATATAATAAAATCATTACTAAAATAATCTGAAGAATCGTCTACACCAAGATATACAGAATTTTTTGTCTCTTCAATTTTTATTTAGCTTGATCATTTTCGCTGTCTTCCTTATTTATCTCCAGAGCAGAAGTTTAGCTTTCTGCTAAGTTCAATCTTGTATTGCTATAAAAATCTATAAATCAATTCATTAATAATTAAGTTATAACTAAAGTTAATATATAAGCTTAAAGTTGTTAACTGTTGTACGCAAACTAAATATGAACAATATCAAATAAAGTCAATTAAAAACTAATAAAACTAAGAATAATGTCCCTCTGCCTCAGAAAAATGGAATAAATTTAGGGTTTAATTTAAATCGTTTTATTTACATCAGTTGATCTAAACTGATTTTAATCATGATTTAAATTGGACGAATAAAAATCACAATTTAAATTGAGTTTTTTGATTTTAATTGTTTTTAACGATTATTTATTGATTTATCCCCAAGTTCAAATTAGTCTCATAATTCAATCAATTATTATAGACTAGTCATTGGTCTTATAATAAAATGTCTGGCAATATTAGAAAGCTTTACATAAGTAGAATTTAGATTCTAGTAACATCACTTTTTGTACACTGTGCTAATATGTTAATAGATAGGGTTTCACAATCAAACACAGAAAAAATCAAATAAAAGAAACATATTTAAAATATAAAACATTAGCTTCTAACAACTACAATGCCACTGTAGTAGTCATATATAAAATTTTATACCTAATGACACTAGTGATGTACAATTTGCAGGCATTGTTAATACATTTATGAGCTAAAAATTAAACTATTATGAATAAATTAAGAAAAAATAAGGAAATTTTTTTTTATGACATTTTAAATGTTTGATTCTTTTAACAAAGAAGACATTTTAAATGTCTTCCTTATTATATAAATCAAACTTTTGAAATATCAATATAGTAATAAGTATTGAAAAAAAAAATAACTATAAGATCTTAAGCAAAA